CAAATACAATTTACCTTTTTTCGGCTTCGGCCAACCCTTAGGAGTAGAAGTAGAGTAGATCTCGGTGAGTTCTTCAGCAAGCAGGGCTGCATCGGTCCGGTCGACCTCCGGTTTGTCTGTAACCGTCATGGTTTATACTTTGATTTATACGGTTGCATCGATCCGGTCGACCTCCACTGCGAACTCTTGTTTAAGCTAGTTATCGACTCTTATCTAGTATAAGTACGGCTGCATCGATCCGGTCGACCTCCACTACTCGAACTAGATTAAGGTCAAGTTATCGGCTCTATCTAAGGGTGGCGTCCTTTGGGTAGATTCATTAAGTTACCGATCTTGCTGATGTTTTTATTGTTATTAGTTTGCAGCAACACGAATCCGTCCGGTCAAGATCGAGTTAGATCGGCCTTATATCCTTTCAGTCCGTCGTTTGCTTTATTACAACACGATGTTTCTTACTTTGAGCGACGGGTTATGTTTCATCGTCCGTTCTATTTTGATCCTGATCGTGCATAATATGCGGTTAGGGCATATATAATCTTGAAGAGGTTTGCTGGCTAGTTAAATCTAGTTTATAGTTCAGCATTATGGCTGTAACGATCCGATCGATCCCGACTGATGGCACTGTAGATTGGAGGAGGCTAGTTAGTAGATTTGTTCCTAATTAGGCGTGACCTTAGCTGTTTGCTATGCCTACATCGGCTAAATAGTCGATCGCCTGTGCGTCAACGTCTACAGTGTGTGTCCATGATTCTGTTAAGCGTGAATAGATCTATATAGTTTAAGGGTTTGATTTGTTGTCTTTATCACGGCTGCATCGATCCGGTCAAACCCCACTGTTAGAGATAGTAGGTTAAGTCTGAGGAGTCCATAGGTTTGTCCATGTGAAATAGTCAATTGTTCACACGCTGTAGTCCCTTTTCACCTGAATCGGCTATTTCAGCCGATTCATCTGAGCCTTCACGCATAGCATGTCTTTTGGAAAGCCTGTCGAAGTATAGATGGTTTTATGAATTCTTTGGTTTTAGTTTGTTATTATCATCATAGCTGCCATCAATCTGGTCGAACCTCACTGTTGATGGTAACATATTAGATTCAGAGCGTTTGTAGATCTATTGGTATTAGACAGTAGATTTGTTTGCACGCTATATCTTTTCCTGATTAGATTCATCGGCTCAACAATTTATACTGGTAATATCCACCTAGCTGATGATCTCATTTACGTCTGCGGGCATTGTACCTATCAACATAAAATTAATCACGATCCATGAGTTTTACTGTCCGTAACAGCCGATTTCTGTGCGTATCGGCTATTTAGTCGATTTTCCCGTCTGGCTGCTCCCGAAGCGGCACACTTGGAACTGTCTGGGCACAGACTAGCATGTTCTACCTTAAATTAGTGATAAACTTTCTCTCCTTGTCAATTGCAGGGTCAAATTGACTGGCACGTCTCGGAAGGAATACGCAGGATCGGTTATCCCTACGTTGAAGCCAAACGGATCTCCAGCTCCATCGAGCAGATTCTTCTGGCTTGCCGTGTGTCGACGCATTTTCGTGCCGACAGATAGTTCTGGAAAACTAAAAATATATAACAATGCTACTATAGTGCACTTGTGTTCGAAGGCTACCTAGCGGTCCTCCACATCCAAGAAAATGAACAGGGCCATTAAAATGATGCATTAACGCATAGGCAACATATCAGTATGCCGAAAAATAAAGTGTGAATATTTAGACATAATAAAAGGATCTAAATTGGGGGTAGAGTGAGGAAGATGAGCTCCTAGCCAGAGTCGCACGTCAGATTGGGCAGATCTGGGGTGGGGAGTTCATCACCGGTTGGCTCAGCTCCTCCAACAGATCGAGATGTGGCGGGGACTAGTGGAGGCTGGAGACGAAGGTGCCGGCGACGCGCACAGGTTGAAGACGGTTGTCAACCACCGTGCGAAACAGAGCTAGAGCATGTCCTGGGGCGGGCGACGTGCACAGGGGAAACTCCCCGCATGGGCTCTCCTAGGGTGGGCGGGTGGCCGGGGACGACAGTCACGGGCAGACGGTGTCAGGGGCTGGGCAGCCGGTGGGGATGGGGGTGTGGAGGCGGGCAGGCAGGCGTCAGAGGTGGGTGCTGTGGAGGTGGCGCGCTTCTGAATGGGAAAGGGAGCGGCTGTGTATTGGGTTCTTAGGTTATATGTCACTTTTGGGCCAAAATTTTCACGGGAACGGACCAAAAACATAGCGCCCGTGGACAATTTATCTAGCGACGGACGATCCCACCTAGTTACTGATATATAGCGACTGACGATTCAACGCAAAAGCAAAATATTTATAGCAACGGACCATCCATCGCAGTATTTGACATTAGCAACTGACGGTCCGAGAAAAACCTTTAGCGACTCACCGTTCAATGGTATTGTAAAGTTTTAACAACAGACGTTAGATGCTATTTAAGGGTTGTGGTGTAGTGACGACATATTGGATTTGGCTATGGGCATTGCTACACGAAGAAGAAAGACCACACCCAAGAATGCTTGCCGGATGTTGGAAACGGTTATCGTGGCGATCTTTGCGAAGTTTGGATGGAAGTTTCAGAATAGAATTGAAGCTTAGTTTTTTTTGTTCTTTTCATCCTTCATCTTTAGCGAGTAAAGTTGTTGTGTTAGTGTTTTGTAAACCAACGAGTGAATTTATATGTGTGTCGCGCTGCTCTAGGAAGATGATGGTAGCACTCAAAGACGCAAGGAATTATACTGGTTCAGGCCGGAGCCCTACGTCAAGTCTCAGAGATGGTTCGAGTTCGTATTCCTCGGTTCAAGTGCTCTAAAGTCTTACAGTGGGGGTGTGTAAGCTAATGGAATGAGGTAGGAGGAGTCAGATGAACGAAAGACCGAATGAAGTCTTGAGAGTTCGTCCCCTTGAAGGGAGGGCTGGCCGTCCTTATATAGAGTCCGAGGGCTAGGTTACATGTGGAGAGATGGGTTCTCCCAACCTGAGTGGTCGAGAGCCCAAGGGAGGGAGAAACAAGTAAACTTGGTCAGCAATCCATCCTATCTTGTCTTGGCGTCGTCGTACGTCCAGGCATGGTCATCGTCATGGTCATCATGATCTTGCTCCCACATCATGGCATGGCATGGTGTGGTGCTATAGTGTAGGGCATGACATCACTATTGGCATGATGGTGGTTCACCAATTGTCCTTCGTCATCATTCCTGTTCTCTTGGTGGCGTCGTGGCGGCAGTGGGGGAGCAGGCGACTGCTCCCAGGTCGTGGTGCCGTGGGCCTCGACACTAGGTGGCCAGGTCGAGGGCCCCGGCGGTTTGGTTGGTCTCAGAAGTCAAGGTCGGGGTCGTGCGAGAGGGTGGGGCCGTACGCCTATCTTGCCGAGCTGGCTTTGGACGGCATAGTGCCGTACCAGTCATCACCGTTCCCTGGTGTTGTCTTGTCTGCGCAGGGACGCGCGATGGTTGTCCTCTCCGTCCTGGCGGAGCGAGTGGAGCATGCTTGTCTCTCTATTAGGGCAGGTGTACTTGGTAGCGTTTGGTCTCTCTTCGTTCTTTCCCAGAGGTCGAGTCAGGAGAGAGGTCAAGCTCGGCAGCGTAGCATGTAGAGGAAGGAGAAAAGAGAGGTCGCGGTGGACTGCGTGACTTGGCATCCGGCCCGGGGACAGTGTGGCTTAAGTGGGCCACGGTTGCTGGGCCTTGGTCAGCTAAACTGCCCGAGCGGCTAACTAATCGGCGCCTTGAGATACCCGGGGTATCTTGACCCCGACATGTTGTGTCTTGTTATATATGGGAGCTGAGCTTCAACACTCCTTTTGTAATGAACAAGCTGTGTACCATCCTCAAACGGTAGAGTCTGGGACATTTGTTCTATTATTAAAAAATAGTCTAAATGGACATGACATGTAGATCTAGCCCACGTTTAGTTTGGTGTCCGATTCGGCGCCGCGGGAGGCACTGTAGCTACAGTACTTTTTGTTTTTATTTGGCAATAATTGTTCAAACATTCACTAATTAGGCTCAAAACGTTACTTTTTTGTTTTTATTTGGTAATAATTGTTCAAACATTCACTAATTAGGCTCAAAACGTTCGTCTCGTAAAGTACAACCAAACTGTGCAATTAGTTTTTGATTTCGTCAACATTTAGTACTCCATGCATGTACCACAAGTTTGATGTGACGGGGAATCTTCTTTTTGACATAGTGCCAAAATTGAGAATTTGGTGGAACTAAACAGGGCCCTAATAGAGAGCAAACTTATTTAATCATTGTGGCTGCCCTAAGCTATTCGATTTCACTTGGCTACTCATTAGCTGTTCGTCTACAATTTTTTTTATTTCAGAGAAATGCAGAGGCATTGATTAAAAAATATTGTCAATTATGGTGACGACTATTTAGATTAGGTTTTTCAAGTTATTGTTGACTGGTGCCACCATAAAAAAATACTCAAAGTTGCACAGATATAGTTTATTTTCTTTTTCCAATAAGTCAGCAGCTGGATTGTTTTAAAATTTGAATGATTTTGGTTGCTTTTTTTTTTAGAGCGTTTGCATTTTAGTGAAGTGCTACCTCTCGTTGTCTCGTATGAATTTTCTTTCTTATCGATGGTCGTATAAATGGGCCAGCTAAAGCCCAATAACGAATCCCAGAAATGGCCCTAACTGAAACCAAAAAAGAAAGAAAGAAAGAAAAAGAACAGAAGTCGATCCTAAATCCAGGCCCAACTTTTTCGCCATAAAAGTTGGCCGATCCGCTCCGCGCCAGTCATCGGACATCGGAGAGATGCGCGCGGGCGGCGGCGCGCGCCCCGACACGCACCACTCTCCCCGACCGCCTCCACCACTGCCACGCTACTAGTGCCCGCCTCCGTCGCCATGCCCACGCCGCGCCTCGCGCACCTCCGCCAGCTCCTCCTCTCACTCCGCTCCGCCCCATCCCCGCCCGCTGGCCCCCAACCTAGGCCACCCGCTCCCCGGGCCGCTTCACCCGTCCCTTCTCCTCCCCCGTACCATGGCTGTCGTCGCGCACGCAGGTGAGCGACGACGTGCCAGCTGAGCCCGTACCGTTAAGTCTCCGTTGCCTTTTCTGGTTGGTGAATCGATGGTGCGTGTGGAGCGCAGGTCTGGCGACGGGCTCGACGGAATACGAGGAGGTGCTCGGGTGCCTCGCGTCGCTGATAACGCAGAAGGTGCGCACGGACACCGGCAACCGCGGCAACCAGTGGGAGCTCATGGCCAAGTACGTGCAGGTGAGTGAGGCCGGGTTGTTTCCGTTTGGTTCGTGTCTCGGTGTCTGCTGCTGCTGCTGTTTCTGATTGAGGTATGGTTGTGTTGTCAGATACTTGAACTGGAGGAGTCCATCGCGCAGTTGAAAGTGGTTCACGTTGCTGGGACCAAAGGAAAGGTAACCGCTGCTTCTGCTGTTGCACTGTGGGGCTAACCTTTTCTTATTTCTTATAGTTCTATATACTGCTTCCGATGGATTTAGCTATGCGGTTTCAGTAACACACTTATTGGTGATCTTGCACAATCACGATTCACGACGGTAGTTTTTATGGAGTTATAACAATATCTCAGTGATCAGTGCTAGATCTAATTTGTTTCTTTTTTTTTTTTCCTAGAACATGCAGATGCAGGAGAGCTGCGTATCTTTGTATTAAGAAGAGTGAGGGTCTAGAACCCTTACAACACACACCCACACACTTGATATTCAATTTGTTTCTGTTTGGCCTGTGTTTCCCTATGGAACATTGGAGCCAGCATTTTACTGTCTTGGCACTAAAAAAAGGAGAGCACACAGGAGGAATCATGTGTCTTTAATTTATGGGAGACCGGGGTATTTGAAATCATAATCGCAACCAGCAAAATCTTTGTTGTAGAACGGTTTACTTTGGAAACCTGCATATCTGTGTAGTTTCTCTTTCCTGAGAAATGGACTGGACTGCAAGCTTTGTTTGCCAGACCAATGTAAATGAACTGAAGCTCTTTTTAGATTGTTCTAGCGCTCAATATACTGTGGAAACTCTATGCCAGTCTTGCAAAAGAAAATGTTTAATGGACGCATCTTGAAATCTATGTATCTTTTCTATCCTTTAGGGTTCAACATGCACATTTGCTGAGTCAATCCTTCGATCATGTGGTTTCCGCACTGGGCTCTTCACTTCACCGCATTTGATGGATGTCCGCGAGCGATTTCGGCTTGATGGGTAATTTTCTCCGTTACCGCCTTTCAACCTTTATTTTGGTTTATCAGTTCGGTATGTTTAGTTTGTTCTAAAGGCATTTATAGTTGAGTTGCTTGAATTTATTTAATTCTTTCTATCATTATGTGCCTTGACACTTATTGAATATTGAATATCCTATGTTCTGATGAGTCTATAGGCTGAGCATTTCGGAAGAAAAGTTTATTAGGTATTTCTGGTGGTGCTGGAACAAACTGAAGGTAACTATCCACCTGATTTTCTTTATATGGTTGGTGAAATATAAAAGAAACAACAGTGGATCTGCGACATTTTATTCTGAGTTTATGGTCTCCTTGGAAACAATCATTGACACTGTTGAAATATTTGTTGTACCATCCAGGACAGGACTGGTGATGATGTACCAATGCCAGCCTACTTTAGGTTCCTTGCACTGCTAGCATTCAAGATCTTTTCAGATGAGCAGGTTAATACTTTGCAAAACACTTTCTAGTCCACAACTTTTTTAATCATGCAGTGGGTGTAGGAAGCATATCCCAGCTTCCTTTTTTAATGGATTTTTCCCAGCCTGAGGGCATTCGTGGATGTTGCCTCATTTTGTATGAAAATAAATTGGTTGAAAAGCATATTTTGTGTCATAGTGGAATCTAAAAGATTGCTTCCTTGATAATACTCCCTCCATCCATGTATAGTAGGCATAACCATATTTTTATTCTGTCCTCGAATACAAGGCGGCTCTGCGCATGGCTGCATGCAGCATTTACCCTTGGACTCTTCAGCTCTCGCGCATGCAGCTGGCCGTTAGCACTAGACGTTAGCTGGAAGGAATCTACATTTGCGTAGAAGCTAAACAGAATGCATGCGGGGCAAGCCCTAACGGCGCATGACGGGGATGGATGAGGCGGAGTTATTTGGAGCCAAAATTAAAGGAAGTCTCCTAAAAACGCGCGGTAATTAAACAATTCCTTGGCCTTGGTGTTTTTGGAGTTGTGCCTACTATACGTGGACAGAGGGAGTACCTGTCACCATCTCCACTCAAACTGTCTGCTGCTAATGCTCTTGACAGATATGACACATTATTAATAATCTGCATTATAAAGTCCTTAATTATCTAATAAGTTTATTTAAGAAGCACTACTGTTTTATGTAGATGAAGCCGTCGTATGCTGCTCAAAAAATTTATCCTTTCCTAGCAGCATGCTCAAAAAAATTTCCTTGTTTTGTCCTGTTTAAGCAGGTGGATGTCGCGGTGCTTGAGGTTGGTTTGGGAGGGAAGTATGATGCAACGAATGTGGTTTGTAGTATGATTACTATTATTTTCTACTCAAATAACAATACAGGGTAATAGAAAGTGTTCATGATTTATACTATTATAGTATATAATCACCATTCACCAAACAAAAAGGAAGCTTGTTGACTAGCAAGACTTATGTTGATATACCATCTTGACTTTCTGATTGAAATGCTGAACCTTACAACTATATTTTGTATTCAAAAAGTTTGGACTGAGATCTCTGTGCAAGCTAAATAATCAGTGATGCTGTAGTTGGCTCATATAGCCATCTAGGTTCAGTCGCACTGTGCATAATCTGTTTGAAGTTCACACTTAGTGCATGTGAAAATCATTGACAATAGCTTGACTTGAACAAATGCTGAGGAGCATAGCTGATTTGTGAACACTTGCAGGTCAGAGCACCTGTCGTTTGTGGAGTATCATCCCTTGGGTATGATCATATGGAAATTCTTGGTTAGTTATGAAACTGAAAGATGAAATAGCATCCTTCGTAGATTTGTTTTACACAGCCAATTCTTGTTCCCAATAAGCAGGAAACACACTTGGAGAAATTGCTGGAGAGAAGGCTGGGATTCTTAAGGTGTTTTGCTAGCTTTGCCTGGATATTCATCAGCTGACCTACTGTAACTAAAACTGATTTTTTTTTTCATATATGGCCTTTTTCCTCAATACAGAAAGGAGTTTCAGCGTATACAGTTCCACAGCCAGAAGAGGCAATGTATGTACTGATGCAGCGAGCTTCTGAGTTGGGTGTATGTTACATTTTGATGTCGCAGTCCTTTTTAGTTGTCACCATGTCTTGTATGTTATGGACTGGGGCATTGGCCTGGAGCCATGGTTTCAGCAGTTCAAGGACAAGCAATAGGTGTTCATTCATCAGCGCAACAAACTAGCTATGTGGCTGGCAACAGTGTGAAGGTTAGATTAGTATGGATTGGTTTGTTAGATAAGATCCTTGAGTTGAATCTGTTAGCTATGCTTGTTAGGACTTAGGAGCCATCCTATAAAAGGAAGGCAATACGGCAAGCTCTAAGGATAAGCAAGAAGAACCCTAGAAAGCAGTCAGAGCCTCTAGAGGGAGGGTGACTAGCTGGTTCTTCCTGCTATCCCAGAGCCTCCAGTGGGAGGTGAAGACTCTGGTGATGCAGTTGGAAGAACTACGACACAAATAATAGCAATACAAAGATGCAGTTGGAGAAGTGGTCCATGGCTCCATACCACTGTGAGCGCAGTCAATGCCATGGCCTAAGGCAGACAAAGGTAGTGGCAATACTGGTGGTGAAGATGACACTGATGCCACTGTTGAAGAAGGCATGGGTGCAGCAAGCAAGGTTGTTGGCGAGTGACAAAGGAAGACCTTTCTCAGTGGTTAGCGACGGTTCTTCCTACTATCCCTAGATCTTGATGTGCCTTTCTTTTATAGGCTGGCTCCTAATAAACATAGCTAAGAAATACAACTAAATGACCTTAACTAACAAACTGATCAATACTAATCTAATCTTCACATGTTTCCTTGGCAGACCACACGGCTAATTTGTTGTGTGATGTGCAGCTGTTGCTTGGCCTTGAACTGCTGAACCCATGGCTCCAGGCCAATACCTAGTCCATAATGCTGCCTTTATTAATTTGTCCATTAACATGACTATAATTACAATCAGCTTTTGATATAACCAACTGAAATTCTCTAAAGGTTTCTCTTCAAGTAGTCCAGCCTTTGGACCCACAGAAATTAGAGGATCAACCTCTTGGACTCCATGGTGAACACCAATACATGAATGCAGGTTTTGCAGTTGCATTGGCTAATACCTGGCTTGAGAGGCAAGGCCATTTGAACAGAATACATGTCAAACATTCTGTAAGTACTCCAAAATGTATGTATTTATTTCCCTGCAAGATATATTAGCGGCAGTTGTCATTCTACCACTGAATGCAGGGCACCTTGCCAGATCAGTTCATCAAAGGGCTGTCAAGTGCTTGTCTGCAAGGTCGAGCACAGATTGTTCCAGATCCACAAGTGAACTCAGAAAACGATAAGGATCATGATTCTTCATTGGTTTTCTATTTGGATGGGGCACATAGTCCAGAAAGCATGGAAATGTGTGCAAGATGGTTTGCCCACGTTACAAATAAGGATGGAATGCAGTCAGGTTCTTTGGAGCAGCCTCATACTGACAGGGATTCTAGGAAGGTATGCGTTACAGTGGCAGTTTTCGTGTCGAATCACATCTCTCTCTCTCTCTCTCTCACATACCATTTTTCTTCACTTATTATATATTATTATGCATCCTCATTTGGATTTTTTTTTATATTTGCAGTTTCTCCTTTTCAATTGCATGACTGTAAGAGATCCTCAGAGATTGCTCCCACGTCTTCTAGATACATGTGCTCAAAATGGTACAACAATCAAATTCTTTATTTCTGTTTGAAGATCTTGAACCATATAATATTTCCTTCCGTAGTTACTCACATGTAATGATGTCTGGAGAAAATACAAGATTCTCCTATAACCAATGCTGATATGCATATCATGTAGAAATTGTCCTTTGTTCCAATGAGTGGCTAGTTAACCAGCTGGTTAAGTATTGTATGAACTAGCTGCCATACTCTGTATTTGCTTGCTCTTCAAGATCAATGTACTTGTATCATGAGTTGCATGAATGCTCCTGTTGGTCTTATAATATTAGTAACCATTTTTCTCAGGGCTCCAGTTTGAGCAGGCCTTATTTGTGCCAAACCAATCACAGTACAACAAGCTTGGTTCCCTTGCATCCCCACCTTCAGAGCGTGAACAAATTGATCTGTCATGGCAGTTGTCACTCCAAAAGGTGTGGGAAAACCTGCCTCATGGCAATAAAGGTTGTTCCAAACTTCATTGTGAAATTCTGTTTAGTTGTCAGCATGTGTTTTCTTATTGAAACATTGAGTTGAAGATGATATATGGACTTTGTGGGAATGCTGCAGGTCTAAATGATGCAAACTCTAGCAGAACTAGCTCAGTTTTTGAATCTCTTCCGTTGGCAATTAAATGGCTAAGGGAAACTGCTCAACAAAACCAATCCATTCAATTTCAGGTGAAAGCATATGCTACAATCTCTATAGTGTTCTCTCAAATGTTCCACAGCACTTAGACATCCTATCATGTGCATCTAGAGTGTTCGGTCCATTATTCCCTCAGTACAAGGTTATTTCATGGACTTGCAGAATTGAGTGCCAGTGTATCACATTTTCTGCAGTAACCGTCACTGATTCATGTACCTCTTCATTAATATTGTCATGTATTGTGTGTTATCCTGTTAATCTGATTGCTGGTGTACGACTCTGCGTACATATTTATGTTTTCTTGCTTTTCTTTTGTTGCGTTTTCCATTACTTTGAATATCTAACATCTTTGTTAAATTTGTTTTTGGTTTCATGTTCCTTCCATTTCTATTCCATGGTATAGCTATTTTTTACATTTTACATTTCTCTAGCAACTGCTTTCCTACTTACTGATACATTTGCATTTCCACACTGAGCCAGGTCTTAGTTGCTGGCTCCCTGCACCTTGTTGGCGATGTATTGAGATTGCTCAAGAAGTAACTTCATTTGGAATGGCACATTGTTCAGATTGAAATGGCTGCCTATGGACCACTATGGCACTAACTTGAGGTTATCGAAATTTGTGAGTGGGATAACACAATATATCAACTTGGTTAGAAGACTGGAAGAAATTGAAAGGCATTTTGATTTCAGTTCCGATCAACTGTAAAATTGTTGTATTTCATCGTTTCTTTAAGTTCCTGGCTCCCTGCCTTTTTTTACATTACGTGCCACTACATGCTCAGTCCAGAAGAATGTAACCAATTTTTAGAATGTACAAACAGTGAATTTTATTATACCAATCATATCATTTTTTTATACTTCTCTAGAAAATCAGTATTTATAAATCATCTATTCTATAAATGTTTGTTGTGGTAATTGCAGATGTATTTTTCGGCAGCATTCCCCATTGGAGAGTAGCTGTCGACATCAGTGGTTGTCCTGGGTTTCCCTGAGTACTTTGCATAGAAGCAGAACTGGAACTGACATGGTACAAATTCTTTTGCAGAATGAATTCTTCAGAGTGAAACCAGATTAAAACAAAAAAAAAGGTCCTGAACCAGAACCAGAGAAGAGGTAGGTACATATGTATCCTATGTCTTACCATTTCCCCGCTTTCCTCCAGTTGAGATAATTCTATTCCTATCATTCGATGAGCTAGTTTCTGTTCTTGTTCTTTGATGCTCTATATAAGCTTATTTGTCATTCTATCCTCTGAAATTCAATTCATTTTCATGACCATACTTCTCAAAAAGGCCAATTGCATTTTCTTTACAATTAGCTATCGTATGATGAAAAAATATTTTTTTAATCGCCTGTGTTTCTGGTGCACTAAGAATAACATTGGTCGACAGCTAACACTGGGTTTTAGTTTTTCCATTGCTTCTGCAGATGTCTCGGACTGTTTGTGGCCATTAGGGACACTAAGTATGGTTCCATCACTTTGTGTAGGATAGGAGGAAAAACAAAAATTAAAGCCATGCAAGGAGAAGTGAGCAAAGCTAGCGTTACGACGTGGCACTTTTATTCTTATACACCTCTGACCTTTTCATTTGACTGGGAGTCTAACGCCCTAACCTCTTCAATTTATTCCTATCTTTTCTCGTGCAAAAGGATTCAGGCACTGTATTTTAAAGCCATCTGTCACTCCTTGTGCCCACCCTCTCTTTGGCTTTCTTCTGCATCTATCAGGTTGCAGATTGAGAGCCAAAACCAAGTTATCTTGATACAACTAGATAGAATGTTTGTGCCAGTCAACACTTGTTAGCAGCTAAGCAATATATATTTGTTAGGCACCACCACTGAGATATCAAGATGACGTTCCCTGGTACGCAGGGTAAGTGCAAAGCGCTTGTGAAAAAATGTCCATTTCATTGCTGTACAGGAGTACTTGTGTGTGGAAATGTACCTATCAAGGCAGCGGAAAGCAACACTGCCTCAAACTTTTGCTAAATACAAATCCAAGTGACGTTAGTAACGGAAATGCATGTCCACTCACATGCGAGCTCTACGATATTTGGCGATTAAACTTCTGTACCTTGGCTGAACTTTCTAGTTATTTTCCTTCTCTCCAAGAGTTTATCTTGCTCGTCTGAACTCTGAGGGTATGCTTGGAATACTGGAATTTCACACGAATTTCATAGGAATCAGGAAAAACGAAGGAGGCAGATGACCATGTGGATGAGCCCTACCAACGCTCTGGAGTACCTCCCTCGTCTTGGCATCTGCTGTCCTGGATCCTTTCACCCTGTTCGCTGGCTGGTTTTAGCCAGTCCAAACCAGCCAACCAACAGTATTTTTTTCTCACAATAAACCAGCACCGGTTAACCTAAACCAGCTCGAAAACCCAGCGAACAGGCCGTTTATTCGTTCGTGCCAATGTTTGATCAACGGGAGCCAAAAGAAAAAGTACAAGAGTCGCAGAATGTGTACGACAAGACGCAAATTCGCTGGAAGGAACTCTGCCCTGGGTGTAGCGGCGGCACCAGAAATTTACAGCTGGGGTATGGCACGTATAAAAAAAATCAAAGCAAACATGCAATATATGCCTCGTTCGGCTTGCTGAAACTTGACTGAAAAATACTATTCTGACTGAATTGTTGTGAGAGAAAAATAATGTTCCGGCTAAAAAAACAAGCTGAACAGTGCAGATTATAAGGTAAACCGAACGGACCATAATGGACAATAAGTAGCATTTGGTGTTCCCTAAAAAAATGTAGCATTTGATGTGGATGTGGAGGGTTCTTTTTTTTTTTTGCCTTTGCAGCTTTCTCCCACAATGTAAATATGCTAACACCCTTCTTCTTCTACATTACAAGAATACAATCAAAAAATTAGAAAAAGGAATCTTCAATAGTTCAAATTCATACACTGAAGAATGGATCTGGGATGTTCTCCTCACCTTGCTTCAAACCGCTGAGTGGGAGGGTGGAGGGCCGGGACACTGACGCCGGAGGGGTGCTGCATAAGGGGCGCCGCCGCCGCCGCCTCCTAGCTACCGGTGGCCGGCTCCGTCGCGCTGGGAGGAGGCAGCAGGGAAAGGGGACAGGCCATAGGGGGGCGGCCGGAGTGGGGAAGGTGCAGGCATGGGTTGCACGGCTGTCATGGTGGTGGTTGCACTGGCAGGTGGCGGCTGAACAGCCGCCTGGCCCGGCCGGCCCTAGTGGCACTGACAGTCAGTTTTCACCTCGAGCGAGCGAGAGCGACGGAGGAGAGTCGGGGAGCTAGACAGGTAGACAGCGAGTCAGATGGGTTTCTGCATTTCTGGGCTTCGTTTCTTGGTGGTCTGCCAGAAATAATTGGTGAAATCAGGCTTACCGGCTATCTTTGCAACATATAAAGTGAAGTACCAATACATGTATAATCATATATATATATATATATATATATATATATATATATATATATATATATATATATATATATATATATATATATATATTGTGTGTGTCACAAATCTTGGGTATTCTAAGAAATAAAGGGGCATACCCTTGCCGCCGCCCATGCTCGGGTGTCAAAAGCTCCCGTATCCAATGTCACTGCTCCATCCCGTATCCTCTGGCGTGCGGCGGCGGTGGACCGAAAAAAGGCCCCTCCTCGCATCTCCACTCCTCCTCCCCCCATCCTCACCCCTCCTCCACCCTACCCTACCTCAAGCATCTCCGTGAGCAGATCCTGACCCCCCCCCCTCACCGGATCTCGCCTGTCTGGCAGGCAGCGTCTAACTCCACCCTCTCTTTCAATTTATTCCTATCTTTCTTGGTGGGCATCGACCTGGAGGAGACCAGGTCTGCGTGTCGCCTCCCCCAGCCTTCTGATCTTGAGGCGGTCGGCGCCCCATCCATCTCTGGTTGGGGCACTGTGGCCTCCTGTGCACGCCGGCTGGCGGCCGACGGTGGGTGGTCGATCTAGGAGCCCGCGTCGACATGCGTCGGCGTGGTGGAGATCGGGTGAAACGACCTCGGCTCACGGGGACGGCTAAGCGTCGTATATATTTGTTAGCTCCACCACTGAGAGTCACTTAGCGCACGCACGCGCCCCATCCCCGACCCACAGTGTTAACTATTATGCATGGGTATCTACCAAAATCCGGCTTCTTGCTTTGGTCTGTATAGGGTGGCGTGTGTGTCTACGTTATTTTCCTTCCGGCGTGGAAAGCAAGCTTGTCCTCACGGTTGGTCGCCGGGGCATGTTTAACGGATGAAAATCCTCGTCTTCACATCATCGCGGTAATGGCATCGCAGATGTCGCACTTCTTCTTAAAGGCGCCGTTGGAGTGCTCTCTACTGCGGCTTACCTCGATTCCGTGCCTAGAGTTGCTCCTTGCTGTGCTAAGCCTGTGCTTCATGCTACCCTTCGTTTCGGTTTGTCCAGTAGTTGGTTGGTGTTGCCGCAGTCATTTTCTTCTCTGTAACGGATGCTTTGCTGCTATTGTTATTCTTGGACGGATGCTTTGCCGTCATGTTGCTCGGGTGGTTGCCTTGCCGCCGGTGTCGCTTCGGTCTCCCCTCTCAGGCAGATGCTTTGCTACTGTGAGCGTGATGGCCCCCCATCCTTGGATGCTTTGCCGTGTTGATGGTCGTCGTCTCAGGCAGATGCTTTGCCGCTAAGCTGCAGTTCTGGAGGATGCTTTGCCGCCGTGGTCTCTTCTCTAGCGGATGCTTTGCCGCTGTTATCGTGCTGGCGCCCTTGGCTGATGCTTTGCCGCCGAGGTTGAAGCTTGCCTCGTCGCCTCTGCGGTCTTCACTACACTACTGACTACCGATGTGTCTGTCTTCCTGTATTAGGCTTAGTCGGTTTGGGTTTTGAGGTGGAGGATCTCTCCCCTCGTGTTTTCTTGCTGTTCGCTTGTGCCTGAGGGATTTCGTTGGTAATTTAGGGATTACTTGGATTTTGTTGGTAATCCAGAGATTACTTGCGAGTCCTATGTATCGCTCTTGCAACATTTGGTTACCTTTCCTCTTACTGGAAAACAGGTGAACACCCGATCACGAAAAAAAAAACTGCTCCATCCCGGTCATGCGGTCATCGTGCTAAAGCAAGGAGAGACGTATGGCCAAGAGAGGAACAACCAGGCACAACAGAATCGCATCAATGAAAAAAAAAGAAGAAGAAATCACCGCCTGACCGTTTGTCGCTTTACAGTGATGTTGTCATCCGTGAAAAATGGGGACAGACACTGTTGCTATCGCCCTTTTGGTTGGGTGGACAGGACAGCGGTGGCTGTGGGGCCTGCTGTTAGGCAAATCCAAGATTAGGCTGGACCAGCAGGAAACTGCCTCGCGCCAACTCCCCATACGGTCCAGACTTCCAGCTAAAAAAACACGGGCATGGAGAAGTTGCACACAGGCGACGACTAGACAAGCAACGTGCGACAGATGAGCAGGCTAGACCGCCAAAAGGACTAGACAAGCAACGTGCGAGTCCCAGAATCAGTAGTAACTTTCAGGCTGACGAACTCGGGTTGCACACGCAGCTGCCTCTGCCTGCCTCATTGACCTGATCAAAGTCATTTTTCTTATTATTTTCCAGGCGCGCCCGTCATCCTCCCTCTCTCCCCTAATCAGGACCCCCCGCGTCAAATTACCGCCACACAAACCGCACGCAGTCCTCTGGGTTGAGTCCTGGACACGTCACCTAATCCTCACCGACGACAGGGCCTGGACTGTAACACCCTGGTATTACGAGCTTGTTTAGCACCGAGACTGAGACCCAAGAGGGATTAACCAAACAATTTTTTGGGTTTTAAAAATTTATAACGCACATGAAATAATAAGCGAATCCTACGTGACTCACTTTTGTGGACTCAAATAAATATCCAAGTTAACTTACTTAGTGCGTAAAAGTGCTAATGAAAATCCTAACGAGAAAAACGGTGTCGGGTTCATAAACCCGGGGTCCCTCGTAGACCGGCTTCCCAACAAAGGCTTAACCCAAGCAGACAACACGCAACTCA